GTATAAAAGATGTACAAAAGTGCATTTTGCATGATAGGTCCCTTTAAGTTAGATTTAGAATGAAGGACTTGTAACAGAGTGTTTTAACAATTTAGTATTGTTACTGAGTACTTCTTTCACCTCCGAATGAAAGCCAAGTATTGATAAGTGGAATTATCATTTGAGATAAATTGTTTACTGTAATGTTGTGTAAAGTCCTTAATCTTATTGTGTCAGATGCTTGATGTACGTATGGCAGAAGTAAAGACCTCCAGATTTCTCTGCTTGAATCCGCAGCAGCTGGGATGTAGCCTTACAAAAAAACCAGAAGAAATATAACTGGAACTGAGTTCGACACACGTGTGGAAGTGCTGGTGCCAAACTGATGAAAGGGGGGAAACGATAAAAGCCAAACATTATTTTACTTGCTTTAGAAATTGGAAATGTCTAGAAAAGCCTACATGCGTCTCTTATTTACATTGATTTATGTTTTTTCATTGTTTATATATTTTCTGAAAGGGTTCTTGTCTGTTAGTTATTTGTTGGAACAGGGTTTTTCTTCAGGACAAAAGAAAATGCTTTTGGTGTAATTGATGCTTATGTTCTAACCGTATGCCTTAGCTAAATTATATGTATTTTAGTTGTGTTTAATAGATTGAAAGGAAATGATGATGATGATGATGATGATGATGATGATGATGATGATGATGATGATGATGGTGAAATCCGCCCACAATAATATCATCATTGCACCACTTTCTTTGCAATAGCTGAGCTGTAATAACTCAATACATTTTCTGTTGGGTGACACGAAAACAGATGGATGCATGGATGTGCCCTCAGAAATCATATTAGTTAGAGCCGCATTCTTTCATGCCCCTTTCACACCAACGCAACTCCGGTTCAAGCTCCGTGCTAGAGCTTTTCTGGTTCAGAACCGGTTCTTCGGTTTAGCGCCGGCTCTTTTCACACCGCTCAGAGCCCGACTGGTGCTGCCGCTGCTGCGTCATGACGTCACAGTTTACGTCGCTGAGTTTCTCCCCAACGCCGGAGCTCACCTCACAACAACAACGGGCCGGGGACTGCGTTGCTTTTAATCATACGAAGCCAGATTAAATTAAATAACGACTTCTCCAACCTTATACTTTTCTCCAGAGTGCCGTGGTTCATTGTTTATTAATGTGTTTCAGCGGCATTTACCGACCGCTGCAGTGCTGGCTGCTCTTCAACGGGAGTGTATTCTCCCGTTAGCTCCGGGTTAGCTCACACGGCTCTAAAGTATTCACTGTCTGACTGTCACACAAGCAGCTGATACATATCCCCAGTTCCCTTTAAGTGAATGTGTGTCAGTCTGATTTGACGCTGTTTGGTGTCAGTCTGAATTGACGCTGTTTGGCATCACAACGCTGTTATGAAAGTTTCTCTGGTATAACATGGGTGATGTTAGCATAGCAACCGAAGCTAAACTGACTACTTGCTAAGCAGTTTTCTACAGGCACTTTTTACCGACGTATTTTTCATTATGATTCTACTTGTGATAGTCGGACATGACAACCTGTGCAGCCCATGTATTGATTCCATCCGATAGCTGCTATAATAACAAACAAAACGTCTGCCTGCTCTCCACAATGATCAATAACAGCGAACGGATGGTCAAAGTAAGGTACAAATAAACAGAATCACACGAAGCCTGGTTAGTGTTGCCTGACTTTATAAAGTGTGTTTTTTTTAACAAGTGTGTGGTTGCGTTCTAGTCACTTTGCTCAGCACTACTGCTTGTTACAACTTTTATTTGCCGTACTCGCCTTAACTGTTAGCTCAGGTTAATCGCGCCCCCCTCCGACGTAAACGTGACGTATGCGGTTCTTGCTTCTAGACGGACAACTTTTTGGTGCTCGAAACGAACCGGATTCCGGAGCTATGATGCTGCTCCGCTGCGGTGTGAACAGGAAAACCCGGTGCTTTTCAAGCACCAGCACCGAACCGGCCCTGAAACACCGTTGGTGTGAAAGGGGTATTAGTGAAAGGACGTAGGTTGTCCTCATTGAATGTTTTCATGCAGAAACAGCAACGGACTTTTAGCACCCAAACATGTATTGATTTATAAAGCATTATAAAGGTTGAAAATATATTTTGTGTTCTACATGTTTGTCTTTTAATAATGTAATAATGTTAGATGCATTGGATTTAACATTATATATTATTCATCAATAAAATATTATTATTATTATGTCGAAGTGCAGAGCATGACACTGTCATATGCACATATGCAGTAACTCATTATGGCCACTAGGTGGAGCCCAAGTGGAGCTAAACCATGTATCTAAGTCAATTGGTTGATTAAAAGCAATAATCCATTACAACACCCCCACCCCAGAGAATTCACAGCACAGTTTTTTTTTCTCTCTTTTATTTTTAACCATTTCACAGAGTACAAGTAGTTAGACAACAAAAATGCAGTTAGCATCTGACGGGAAGTTAAAAAAAAAGCAGTAAAGTGCAGTATAATGGAACATGAGTGTACATATGACCGATATAAACAAACTAACGTATTAACACTATGAAGAGGATATATTTGTACACTATAAAACAGTTGACATTGAATACACTATAGAGCAGGTATAAACATTGACAGTACAAAACAGACATTATAGACAGAAATACTAATACTGTACATAAGTTATTGACACTTTTAAAATAATATGGATATATTTACTGTTTATGGTGATTTTCTATGTTCTGTTTAACTTCTGTGCAATGCCTTGTTTACATGCTGCTGTAACACATTTGCATCAATACAGTCAATCTAACCGTATCCAACCCAATGTTATTGTATCTTAAGAGTACATTTTATAACATTTTCGGCAAATATGACATTGTAGGGGCCAACAATCCCTGAGTGCCATCACCTGCAGCAGTGTGTTGGATGAATGGAGGTTCCTCTCTGACCTGCTGCTGTGAATGCAGCCGCTCTCCAGTCAAATTAAGGCCATCATCAGAAACATGAATAGAGAATAAGCTCTTTATCTGAAACTCACTCTGAGCTCTGGTTACTGCCTGAAGCTCTGCGCTGTCATGAACAGAAGGGGAGGGATGGAAATATCATACAACGGTCATCTTTCTATATCACTTTTTGTAAGTTATTTTGAGTCTATTTTCATTATTTCTCATCTTTTTATAATGTCTTTAAGTCTTTTTGTGGTCCTTACTAGTCTCTATGTGGATGCCCGTAGTCTCATTGGTCATTTTGCATCTTTGTATTTGCTTAATGTTGTGTCGCTTTTAATCTCTTTTGTCTATTTGTGGTTGTTTTTAGTTTTTTTCTGCCTATTTTTGAGAAACATACATATTTTGTACAACCTCCTTCTATGAATTGAATAGAAAGTGGATGTCTCAACAAGCCGGACCGTTTATTTGGTCTTTTAGTTGTTTTTCTGTGTGTTATTTAGTCATTGTATTGCTTTTCAATAACGAAAAGCGGTTTCAAATGTAACATTTATTTAGTATCTAGGCAAGAAAAACAAAAAATGATAACTGTGATAATTAAATTCAACAGCAAATTATAGAGTTGACAGTATTGCAGACTAAAAATGACTGATAGCACAATATCACTTATTGGAATTACAGATATGTTGCAATGAATATTCATTTTATAATTGTATTTCTTAATAAGAATGAGATGTGTTTTCCAAGAGACCTGAGAACAAGAAACTTACAAAAGAATGCAAAAAATAACAACAACAGTAGAAAAAGTACAAGAATGATTCAAAACGTCGGATAAAAAAAGAAAATCTTCATGGTGAATGTAAGACTAGTTTAAAGCCAGATTGCAAAACAGCACATGAGTGTAATTTAAAAAGTGGCATTACAGCAGATTAATGTTACAATGTCATGTTTAAATCCCCCACCCCACCCCAACACCCACCCATACTGTTGCAAATGAACTGATCCAGACTAATACAAAAATCATGGCTCCCCAAAGTGGGACGCTTCTGCCAGCTGTGCAAGAAATACAAAGTGGAAAACAGAGGTGCACTATCTGAAAGAATGCACAAAACTCCAGCCACTCCGAACTAAATATTTCCCCAAAATTATAGGCGGCCTATTCTGCTCATTTTCAGGTTCATATTTGTATGTAGTGTCTCTACTGTGACATGTCTCCATGCTTCAATGTTCAAAAAGCTCTTTATCTTTCTCATACTGCCTGTGCTGCAGCACCTCTTTTCACCCTCTGTCTGAAACCAGAGCCCAGTCTGCTCTGATTGGTTAGCTCTGTTGTGATTGGTCAACCGCTTAGAGATGTACCGCCCCTTAGCCTATAACGTAAAAATGTTTTGGTTCGCTAGCCAATAGAAGCCAATTGTAACATAGTGATGTCACTATGAGAGAAACTCCCTTTCGAGGGTATACTGGGATTTTGGTCTTTGTAGCTCATTTACATGCACAATAACGTATAACACTCTACAGGAAAGTGAAAAAACCCTACAAAGCATAATAGGGCCTCTTTAATGCAATGCATCCTATTTGACCACATAACAGACATCAACACCATTCAAATGATGTTAGGAGAGCACATAAAGAGCTGCATATAAAACATGATATATGTTTACCTGCAACACTCTGGGAAGCTGAACACATACTGTCTTGTACATCACATTGATATTATTTGTATATGCAGATTTTTATTTTGTATTGATGATATCCAGTTATGTTCAGCTTTTTTCCTTGAATTTAAATTACATAATAAAGGAAATACACAGGTAATGGGCTGAAACAGCAGAGCGAGAGAGAGAGAGATAGAGAGAGAGAGAGAGAGAGAGAGAGAGAGAGAGAGAGAGAGAGTATGGGGGGAGAGATTGATAGAGGAAGGAGAGAGAGATTCTCTCGATGCCTGTTCTGCGCCTCTTAGCTCGCTCATCTCTCTACTTCTCTCTCTACTTCTCTCTACTCTCCTCTTCATGCTCGCTGCACTCTATCACCTCTCCTCTCTCTCTCTACTATACTTAGAGTCTATTCACCCTTTCTGCTCTATCATACACACACACACACACGTACTCACGCGCGCATGAGACTATATTTGGGAGTGATCGCAGAGAGAAACAGTTGGTGACGGAGCTGCTGGATGTTTCTGAAACACCGGGAACAACTGACAGGTAATACCCACCTCCTGCTGTCCTGATGCGGCTTTAAATCTATCATTTATCCCCTGTGATAATCCCACTCGGAGGTCTTTATGTGGAATATTATTATAGTGAAGTTTGGATTCAAATATACAGTCTGGTGTACACGCAATGTAATAGAGATGTTATCGGCATATGAAGATATTGTAGCGATAGATAGTTTTAAGCGAGACTCCGGCCCGGCTTCTCCCTGGCTCTGGTCGACCTTGTACGGGGAGCCGGCGCAGTGACACGCCGGGCTCTGGTGCGCAGCAGCGGGGCAGAAAGCTCCGACGTCCACCCTCCCGCCTACTGGCGTCTCACCGTTTTGGTATAGCCTTAAACATGTAGTAAAACCGTACAGTGTTTGATTCATCGTCAGAATATAAACATATACCCAGTTATGTTTCTGTTTGATAGTCTGAAGTTATGTAAGAGGCTGCTGGGAAGTGAGCACACCGCGGAGGAGAGGATGGAGGATGGAGGATGGAGGATGGAGGCTGGAGGCTGGATTAAGAAGGAGAGGATGGCTTTATGTAACACCCCCCCCCCCCCCCTCCTCATCCAGCATCACAACATCTGCCGGCCTCCCTTTAAAATCCGGCCCATGATAGTCCCATACTATTTCTAAAATGTTAACGTATTTATAGGATAATAGTTGTAATATGTATTATCCTTTAAGACATGATTGCCGGCTATGTCTATCAGTGGTGTAATGTACCATTTTGAGGTGCTTCATTTGAGTATTTTCTATTCTCATGCTACTTTAAACTCCACTACATCTCAGAGGGAAGCAAGATGATTAGATACGGACACTTTATTGTAAGTCTACAAAGGTGTACATTTTCTTTGGTAAAGCTCGGCTGGAAATAAAAGTTATTTATTAAATGTACAGTAAAAAGTCCAGTACGATACAATACAACACGATACGATACAATACGATATGACATGACACAATATGTTACGAAACTAGGATACTTTATTGTTAGTTGAGAAGGTGTACATTTTCTTTGTTAAAGCCCGGTTGAAAATAAAAGTATTCATTAAATATACAGTAACAAAATGCGTTATGATACAATAGAATACCAAAAAACACAAACGTTACGATGCGAAACGACACAATACAATATGATATGATACTTTATGATACGATTCTAGAATCTTTTATTGTCGGTTGTGTCCATTTTTATGTTGAAGCCCGGCAACAACCTATTGACTTTAATGTCAAAGTAAGTTATTGTTAATAGTTAGTTTTATCATATTAGGAGCATGACTCTATGGATAGTAGGCAAATGAACCCCACCTCCAGGCTGAGATGTGTCAACTATTGGATGGGCTGTGATGAAATGTTGTCCCTCAATAGTTCCCTCTGGATGAGTTGTGATAACTTTGGTAATGCTGTGACTTTTCAAGCCATCATCAGGTCAACAGTTAGTAGAAACAGTTAAACATAATGTGAACGGTAACAGGCACGCTAACTGATGACTCTTTGTCCCATTGAACCTACTGTAGCTGTGAATAATGGCTCACAGTCCTGAGGGAGCTAGAAAGAACCTGTTGCTGCTCTCTGTGTGTGTGTGTGTGTGTGTGTGTGTGTGTGTGTGTGTGTGTGTGTGTGTGTGTGTGTGTGTGTGTGTGTGTGTGTGTGTGCGTGCGTGTGTGTGTGTGTGTGTGTTTGTGTGTGTGAAAGATAATTAGAGTGACTGTGCTTTTACACATTTACATGTACGTGAAATATCCTTTACTTGAATCAAAATACTTACACCATACACTGATAATAATATGTCACAAGTGAAAGTCCTGCATTTAACAGTAGCTAAGTACATTTAGTACTTTCAGGACACATACTTTTGCAGTACTTTCTGACCCATTTAGTTGTGCTTGTTTTTTCATTTCATGCCACTTTCATTCACTTCTACTCTGATAGGTTTATCTGACAGCTTTACTTACTTTACAAACTACAATTTTAAGACTTTATAAAAAAAAAATCGTATACAACTACCCAGCACCTTACTACTATAAAGTAAGTAGTCTACAATTGTAAAAAAAAACTGTAGTCTACAATTGTAAAAAAAAAAAGCTGTCGACTGACAGAAAGTAAATTGAAAGATATATTTTTCTTATAGTTTTCAGTTTTCTTTTACTAATGTTAATAATTTGAATTTATTTGTAATAATATTGAGTTTTCAATCAATGAATCAGTTAATGGAGAATATAACCAGCAAAAATATCCATAATTAAAATCATCATTAGTTAATATTTCAAACTGGGCTCCACAGAACTGCAACAGTAAAGTCCGGGATTTACATGAATGCTTGAGTAATCATTATTTAACTATGACACTAATGGCGCATTTCCACTCGGCCTCGGCCACACTCGGTACGGCTCGGTACGGCTTGGCCACGTTGGGCCTTAACAGGGCCGACTCACTTCATGCTGCGCTTCCATTACAGTTTAGGAACTGGGGTAGTTACTATAGTAACGCAGTGTAGGCGGAGCCGTGACGTCATCTTCAATGAGAAATCCAGAAACACAACACAGCCGTTAGCTGTGAGCACTCAGAGCTCACAGCTCCTTATATATGTTCAGAAACTCGACAAAAGTTAAACAAGTACACACCACAGACTGCCTGTGTGATGGTGAATACAGTCGCTGCTTTATTTATGTCTGTATAGGCCGTTGTTGTGAGTGTGGACGGTCGGGGCATATACTGCGTTAGCTTAGCCAATCTCCATCTAGAAAAACACGAATTTTAAAAGGTTTTTCGCCTGCCGTCTGTCTGCAGACTTGACAAAGCATTAATTCATGGTTTTTACTAACCGGTATCAGTATGTTGTTACTTCGGCATCATTTTGAAACGTGTATTACAATTAAATCACGGTCAAATATGTCCATCTTGTTGTAGTTCTAGCCCTCTTGCCAGCGCTCCTCTCTCTAGTTTAGCATACTCAGCCCGACTCAGTCCTGTTTGTTGGCCCCGATAGAACCACAATTTTCTAGGGCCAGAAAAGAGGGGAAAAAGTGGCCCCGCGCCGTGCCGCGCCGGAACGAGGCCTAGTGGAAGCACAACCAAAAAAAGGGGACGGCACGACACGGCACGCTTAAAGCGAGCTACGCGCTGCAATGGAAATGCGCCATAAGACTAACATTAAGCCTACTTTTACCTTTCCTGATTCTACCAGCATACTTGATCTGAAATACTGTGATATTACTGTTACTTAAGTAAAAGATCTATCTTTCTCATCTTTGGCGTACTGTACACTGGTACGGTCCCTGAATGCATCTCCGTTGCCTGCGTGGGTGCTCTCCTCTATTTCTGGACATATAAGTCATCTTTACTCATGTTATACAACAGAAACTTGGCTCTGCCTTGACTCTACTGCAGCAGAAATAGAAAAAAGGTTTGAATCCTTCACGGCTGTTAGTGTTCATTTTAAGATAATTGCACCTGAGTATTTGTATTTCTTGCTCCCTTTTACTTCGATGGAGCTATAGTTACTATGCATAATATGTATTTAAAAATCTACAACGATCCTTTAAGACACAGTACATTATTTTACCAAAGAATAAACAGACAGAATATAAAATTAGTACAATTATAATAAAAATCGAACACTGAATGATAGTACCTAAATATTTAGGTAAGATGAGGAATGCAGGACTTTTACTTGTTACTCATCAGGCTGTGGTAAAAGGGAGAAAATAGAGTGTAGTGTAGTGATGACGTATTTTTCTAGGCCGACCCGAAAGCATCGCAAAGGATCCATTCCCATTGGATTTCGGTATATTGCAGAAAATAAAGTTTTGGGCAAACACAGGTTTATGATACTTACCACGTGTGCTCAGAAGCATAATCTCCACATATTAACACCACTTTCTGCTTTTCAAAGTGTCAATGCAATTCCGGAGAAATAGAAAGCTAACGTAATGCTATAAACAAACCACATCACATTACATGGCTGCGCGTCAACGGCGGACTCGTGTCGACATGATGACGGTTGGTATTTTATTAAGTCACTTTTCACACAGATTAGGGGGTATTTACTGACGTTTTTTATTTTCGTAAAACAAAACGTTCTATCTAGAAACACGTTAAAAAAAAACATTGACTTCAAGATGAGGGAACTGGAAATGGTAAAATGCCTATTAAAGTCTCTTACTGGTTTGAGGACTCATTCCTGCACCACTCTTTAGGCCTCTATCGGAGGGTCAGTGGTTTGATCCCCAGCCCCAGCATTATGTTGGTGTCTTCGGGCAGGATACTTAACCCAAGATTGCTCCCCTAGGCATATCTATGGTATTGAAGTGTATGTTAGTCACTTAAAGGGGACCTATCATGCAAAATGCACTTTTGTATGTCTTTTATACCTAAATATGTTTCCCCGATGTGTAAGGGAACTCACAAAGTGTCAGAAAATAAAACCCCCTCTCTTTTCCTCCGTACCCAAATCTCTAAAAACGGGGGTACAACGGAGCTGATCCAGATTTGCGTCCGATATGACGTAATATCTGAAATGTGGGCTGGCTTTACACCCACGGCCCTATCAGAAACGTTGCTATCAGAAACAATGCCCGATGTGTTTTGGACGTAATATGGTCTTTGTTTACATTAGCAAGCATCGCTAACACTCAGAGCTAACCTGTTCTGGAGAGAGAATGTGTAAAAAAGCAGGAAATAAAAAAAAGGGACTCACCTTGTAGTCAGTGGCGTTTTCTCCTGGAGGCCAAGGGAAGCCAGGCTTCCCCTATTCTTTCGGATTGTAGTTATAATTTTAATAAATAAATAAAAACACTTAGTTTAGTTTCGGAAATTCTTCTTTGCTGTGTGTTGCTGCCGGCCCATCTCTCCCCCATTCTCATTGAGTATTTTGCAAAGAGTAAAACAGCGCCCCTCTAGATGTTATGGTAAAACAGTAGATTGCACTCACTGTTGCGAGAGGAGGCCAGCCGAAATTGGCTTCCCTTGGTGAAAAGAAATGGAGGGATTGACCAAT